GAAGCAGTAATCCTCAGTTATAAAGAGCCAGCAGTTTCACACCAAAATGTAGAAATCACATATATATCAAGCAGGAAACACCAGAAGACGCGGTTCCATTGCTTATTCCTGGTAAAGTTCAACACACTCAGCCACTTCCTTCACCTTTGAGATTAAGTGTATTTGCCATTGGCACCTTTGTGGATGTATTAAGGTTTAGAGGGAAAAAAAGTGTTTGTTTTATGATTTCCCCTAAATGGACTATTGTTATGTGATGCTACCAAGTGAATAATACTTACATTTTTATTTTTTAAATTCCTCTGAATCCTAAAATTAACTGATTTTGAGTAAAATTTAGTATTAAATCTGGGAAGATTTCATCTAATACCTTCATTTGTTACAAATATGCATTAATTTTATCTGATAACACTGTATTCTTTATTAAGCCCACAACAGTCATGAACAGAATTATTTCCTCACTATTAAATATTGTAATAAAATAAAAATCTAACCTGTGAAGTAAGGCAACAACCCTGGGGAAGATGGAGCAAGTTATAAACAGCATAGTTTTATAATTTCAGTCTTGATTTCCATGGGATAAAGAAGTTAATAACGTTAATAATGAGGCAAATTCAATTCCTTATTAAATATCCTTAGATTTGTTCTTTGATCCAAGTTTATTTTTGGATTTCATGACAAAGAAATGTTATAGTTGCCAGTACATTTATTTTTCTATGCATTTTTCAGAGTTGTGTGAATGAGCTGTTTGGTCTGGTGCATTTCCTTGTGCTGATACACCACCTACTTCATGCCATGTACTAGGGTTAAACACAAAGTAACAAATTTTTCTGTAATGCTTCAAATTACTTGTGCTTTCCTCCAGATCTGACATTTGTGTCATACCCACACGGGGCCTTTCCCTTTCACATTACATTTGCTTTCTTTCTTGAGTAGTATAGATTGAGTAACCCCAAAATCTTCCTTCTTGAAGCATTGCATAAATGCTTTATGTCAGTTGGTTTATTTCTCTTGAACTTCTTGGTAACTAAGTTGTTGGTTAATTATTTCTTAATCTTAAGATATTTCTCCTTAAGATATTTTGTGTTGGTACAAATTGCATCTTTTATATTACTGAGAAAACTCAGTCCAAGAAAATAAGGAAATATGCAGGGTTGAAGTAGTCTCATTCTTAGTTGGTAATGCTAACTGGACTTCTGAACTATTTTTATTAGAAAATTGTGAGAGTTTTACAGGACATTGTTTGAACTTCTATCTCTTATAACAAAATTCCTAATTTAATTTTATGAGCTTTAAATTAAAAGGAAACATTAATCTTCCCTAATTTAAAGGCCAGTTAATGACTGTGAGTTCTGTTAAATAAAAATATGCTTCCATTCTATGAAAGCAGGCAGGAAATAGTCAAAACACAATCTTTTAAGGGCCTCATAGAATTAAAATTGGAATACAAAGGTGGAAGATTGGATAATCTGATTTGCCTTTTTAACTTGCAAAACATTTGATATATTTTAAATTTAAACACTTAAGAAATTAATTCTGCGACATCAAATGCGAGAGCCTTTCATGTAACTTATTACAATGCATGTTAGCCTGCCAGTAAACTCCTAAAACTCCTGGACACTGGCTCTCTTCTCTTCTGGCTTCTCTCCTAGTCATGTCTTGGCCACTGTCCAGAGCTGACAACTCTCGCCCAGGAGCAAAGGGAGATTTGTCTGGTGTAAGAAGGATTTTTGAGTCATCCTTGATTTTCATATCCAGATGGGCGAGGAGGAAGGGTGGCAGAATCATTGTATGCACTTGGGCGATGCCATGGAGCCACACATGCACCAGGACATTGATTTACTCACACTGGTGTATTCTGAATGTCCTTAGACGCGCTTAATGAGAAACTGTAATGTAACGACTTCAAAACTAACAGAAAAATTATGTTCAAATTTGCATTTGAGCAGTTGATGCACAAATGCCTTTAATTCTCCATTTCCAGCTATATACGGAAGCCACAAGGGGTTGGACATCTTTGTTATGCATATAAAAACTCTTAAAATCTGTTAGGATGAAAATGTAGAAGTTTGAAGCCCTTTGCTCCAATCATTATGCTAAAGCTTTCTGAACACTGCTGGTCATATTACAACAATTTGTTATCCACAGTGTTTTCCTGCTAAAGTGAATTGTGATTATTATGCTTTTAAGGGTTTCCTGAAGCTGTTAATTTTAGATTCTCTTAAGTAAATTGACTTTCACTTATCTAAAGAACCATTTAGTATTAATATTACGATTTGAAAGACCTTGACAAGAATGGTTTTAGGTAGGATTACATCAACAGATTGTATCCCTTATGAATCATGGACATACAGAGGTAATCTGTAACACGTTTTTAACATTAAGAAAATGTGCATTTATGTGTCCAGATATCTTCTGTGCTTCTATAAATAACTAGAAAACTGAATGAGTTTATCATTAGATATTATTCTTAAATAATTTCCATTCCATTTTATTCTATAGATGTTTTTCAGATATCTGTACAGTTTTCACAGTTAATCTGTTTTGCCATCTTATATAAACTATTTTGCAAAATAGCTGTGCAGAAAGCAGTAAGGTCATTGTTAAATGTAACTCATAGTATACTATTTTACAGAGATGTAATAGTATGATGAAAAGTTTATCCTTGCTCTAAGTCTTTGTGAAAGCTTTAAAAATAGTTTGTAATTAATAGCTGTGATATAAACCTATAGAACTTAGAAATACAATAAATATATGAATGAGTTTCTTAGAACTCTGCATGTCTTTTGTACTTGAAATTAATTAGTTTTCTTCTTTAAAGTACTTTAAAAAGACCTACAAGGTTGATAAATATTGTTTCTTAGTTTTAATTATTAATTATGTATTAATGATTCATTATTAAAGTTAAGTGAAGGAAGTAAATGTCAAGTTAACCATTGAAATACATAGCATCTTGCTTACATATTGCTAGAATGAAAGTCACTCATCACAGTCCCTGTTAACCCCATAATTCCTAGTATCCATGTAAGTGAGAAGGTGCTAGTGTATCACTGAGATCTTGAAAGTTGCGTTCTAACACAGAACACCTTTCACCACTTTAGATTCAGATGTCTAGATACAGAGAGTCCTGTCTTGATAGATAAAAGTAAATCTGACCTTTTGGATTAAGAAATATTGCCAGTAGCCTTTGTAGGTGCTTGTTCATCTGAGGGTCTGTGACAGGAGAACGCTTCCCAGTTGAGTTCATACTAAAACTGAAATGATACGAGCCTGCTGGTTGTGATCCAAGATTCTTCTCCATGGGGGCACCACATGGTTTTCTCCATCTCCCACTTGTTCTCACCCTCTCTTACCAGCTCAGCCACACCCCACCCCCACCCCAACATTGTTCAGGGCCTAGCACAATGAATCATTTTCAAGTTGACTCTTTGTGAACTGTCTCCCAGCTGTTGGAATGTCTGGCAGACATTTTTGTTTGGGTGAAGAATAACTGGCTGAAGCCCAACCTGGATGAGTTTGATATAATGGTCTCTGGCTAAAGAAATATTGAGAGGAGCATGTTTATGGCCTCAGAGCCCCTGTTATTCCTGGAGTAGGACCATCCCTTGTGGCACGGAACCGAAAGGAATCAATCTGAATTATTTTCTCACCATTGAATGAAAAATTGCCTACGGAAAAAAAACAGGCATTTCCAAGTGATGTTTGTTTTCTATGCTTGGTATGCCCATGTGACTGAAAGTAGTAAAGACAATTAAAGGAAGTCATTTTTACTGGCCCTCTTTAGGAGCACTGGTTCAGAGGCTGAGGTGTTCTTTATACCCTTGCGGATGAGTTCGCAGCACTACTGTGGAAGGCTCGGTGCCAGAGTTGCCTCACACCTTGTCTGGTAACACTGACGTGCCCTCTGTTAAAACTTCAATCCTGGACAGTCTTCATAAAAGGGCTTGAGAAGCAGAGGGCCACCAGTAAGCTCACTAGGCCGTGGTGTCTTCCTTATATGTGACCTCTTCTGTGCCAGAAGGACGAGCATCAAAATGATACATTTTCTGGACTGTTCCACATTTCCCATCCTTTTCTTCAGAGATTACTTTTAAACTGGCGGGCACCCCCAGTGTACAAAGAGGAGCTTCACAATCACAGTATTTTAGGAGCTCTGGGGCTTCAGACTGAAATGTTTTCTGCGGTGTTAGAGCCATGAGCACAATTTTCTGACCCACTGCCCCGTCGGGGACTAAAAGGAACGCTGGGATGTCCTTAAATAATTCCCCAAACCAGCCAGCTAGCTGGTGATTTCATGTTCAGAGCCGAGACTGTCTGGGTGTGTTAGAACTTTCACTGCTTACTGACCGGACACACTCTTTCTGGAAACAGTGCTATAGTGTCTAACGGCACCTGGGCCCATCTTGGTTGCATTGGGAAAGGCAGGGCAGGTGGTGGGCATGAGAGCTGCTCACCTGCCATCTTTCCTTTTCCTCTATTGTTAGCGCAGAGCCACGGGGCAGTGCCAGGAAGGAAGACAAACCGCGAGCGCTGCCGTGTCAGCCCTTAGCAGGACCTCCTGTGCCCAGCGTGTCACCAAGGCGCCTGGCTGTTCCTGGGCTGAGACCTGGGACCCTTGCCTCATACCTGATACTGTGCCGTCTGCTGCTTCTGAGTTCTCTTGTCTGCAAGGTTTTCCAGTGGGCAGTGGGCGAAGTAATTTGAAGAATAATAAAGAATGAAAATGAAGGTAGCCTTGCCCCCAAAAGGGAATGAAAAATAATTACGTTTTCTACCAATTTATGCTTTCCCCTCAGCTCTTCAGTTAGAGTAGTGTACCTATGCAGGTTGAAATTTTCAATTAAGAGCACATTTTGTCCAGTTTTCAGCTGGTAGCAGCTTTAATTTTTCTGTTATTTCTCTATCCTGATAATCTGTCTCCACCATAATTTGTCATTGAGATGTCGTAGTGGCACTGTATAGATGTTATATTTTTAAACATGTTTCATTTTTGTGTTTTGCAGAATAAATCAGTAACTGCTCGTGTTATACATTTGTCAGATACAGTAGTGGGCCTGGAATCGTTTATTGGTTTGGAGAGAGAAGCCAATCCTCTCTATAAGGATTATCACGGTAAGCGTCCCCTTCGGCACAAGCAGGCCGAGCCCTGGCCGCTTGCAGTCCTGTGCAGTCCGTGGCTCGTGGAGCAGCATGGACGTCACCTCATAGTGGACCTGTCAGGGTTCTCCAGTCCTAGCTGGTCTCCCGGGCAGTGCACCATCAGACTGCCCGAGAGCCAGAGGCTGTGCTACCTGAGAGGAGTCGGCCCAGGGTCTAAGGCCTGGCTTAGATGCACTGTGGCTGTCCCAGTCCCTGAAAGCTGCCATGCACTCAGATGTACTTTTTAAGCTATGCTGGAAATAAGTATGTTAATTCTCATCATGCAAGTTGAGTATCCCTAACCCAGAAATCCTCTCTGAAATGTTTCAGGCTTGGGAGCCCTTGGGTCCTAAGCATGGCCACCCGCCCAGCTCTGGCTTCAGAGGGCTCCACTAGGGATGAGAAGGGACCTGCCACATCACCACGGGTTAACACGGGGAGCTCCTCTGGCATTTCACTTTCATGTCTTAAGCTTTGGCTTCATTTGGGGGTTTTGCTGGTAGAGAGTGAACTCGGGGCTTGTGCATGTTAATATGTGCTCTACCATTGAGCTACACCCCCAGCCCCTGTTTTTTTAAAGTTTTTAATATTACTCTAGTCATTTGGTTAGTTGGAGGATTTTTTAAAAATAAAAATTCTTACACAGAAGCATTTGAATTTTAAAAGTTTAGTAGCTACATGTGCACTTGGTCTAAACTTCATATAGAAAACAGTGAATAACAGATTTTTTACCTATTTATGTATCCTAAATAAAATGTAAGTTAAAATGTAAGTTATTGCTGTTACTCTTGTAGAATCACTGTACTTCTGTAGAAATTTCTGGTCTAAAGACTCGGCTTCTTTGAAGTCTGTTACTTCAATTTTGTGAGTCTGTGGAAGTTATTTTGTTGGTCCACATATTAGAATGTACACAAAAATTATTAAAGAGTATACTTTATCTAATGAGCTCGTGCTTTGAGTTTTAAAACTATCATAGCAATCAGTGCTGTTTTTAGATCTGTGAACAGAAACTCCCCACAGAAATCTGCCTCCTGCTCGTTCCCTTGGCTAAGTGTGCACGTGGCCATCCTAGGCTCTCCCTGTGTGCAGTTCAGTCCACGTGTCTTTTCTGCCGTGATGGGAAGAGATCTGCTAAGATTTCAATGTTTTTTAATTTGTTTTTTCTTTTAATGCAATCCAAGTTGAATATCATCATTATATATTATCATTTATAAGTATTACAATGATTAACTTATTAATTTAGTAAAACCATATTTTATATTCTGAAAATGCTGTTTTGATGAGAGCATTTCACAGGTGGGGGGGCTGTGTGTCTTTGTGCTGAAATCTCTGAACTGAGGAATTATTCCCCAGAGTCACGAGTGGTTCTGATGACTAGTAAATTGTCATTAATGAGGAGGCCTTTCCAGTGCAATCACTCATTCCTTCTGTGAGGGCTCCTGACTTCACAGCTAAACAAGCGCCCTAAGCTTAAAATGAGAAATGTGTGAGAGTATGATGTGCATTTTCTTAATAAGTGTATTTTACCAAATAGCTATGTATGGGGTATTTTTAATTCATAGCTAGAAGTTATTTTTTCAATAGTTCCGTCTACATTTTTTTTAAGTTTAAAAAATTTAGTGAGCTATGTTAGTGAATTGTTTTTGCAGGGATCATTTCTGAGGTTCACCCTTTTAAGCTAGTGCAGACCCCTGCACTACTGAGCTTCGGTTCACACAGCACCTTGGCGTGACTGCTGGGTCTGCAGGGTGCTCCGGCCTGGTAAGGCTCGTCCTGCAGTGCTGGCTCCTGAGCAGGAGTCACATCCAGCAGGGAGGTACACTGAGGGCCTGGTGTGTCCTCGTCTGTGGGAAATGACCCTCATTCCGTCAGAAGCGACATCAGGCTGCACAAAGCCATCCAGTGCCCCTGTCAGAAGGAATTAGCAGGCATTGCCACTGACGAGAGGCCAGGCTCATGGTTTACCTAGCGCCGGCACAAAGCCTGTGGCGGGCGGCCCTGTGAAGGGCAGTCAGCCAGGCCGTGGAAATGTGTGTCTCGGTGGCCGGCCTGGGTGCATGCTGGGCCCACGGTGCACTCTGAGATGCAGTCTTCCTCCGCGGTGTGCCCAAGTCGCTAACAGGCACAGAACGCAGCACCTTTTATCAGAGCCTTGCTGGTGATCAGTAACCCATAAGCCTTGTTTTGCTGGCTGCTTACTGGTGCATTTAATAAAATAAAGATCACTTAGTGGTGCCGTGGGCAGCGTGCAAGGTGATAGCCATATTTGCTTACTGTAAATACAAGGGAAAATCACACACAAACCGGCTGTAGTTTTGACAAGAATTAAGATCCCTCTTTACATCTGTACTTGTGTACCAAAGTGCAATTAGTTTTCCTCGCACAAGGATTTCTGTTTATCTTATTCTGCCTGATTACTTGAGTACAATCACACCATTTGCTTCACTGCTCCTGGTAGTGAGCCCCAGTTTTAAAGGGAGAGGCCTGCGTGTAAATTTACAGGATTCTGCTGTAAGACTTTAATTTATGCGTCTGATGACAGTGTCTTGAAATTTTTTCTTTTAATTTTCTCTCTACAAGGTTTGATTCATATTCGGCAGATTCCTCGGCTTAATAACTTGATTTGCGATGAATCAGATGTCAAAGACTTAGCTTTTAAGTTAAAAAGGAAGCTATTTGCCATTGAGGTAAGGGAATTTTTATTTTTTAGTTTACAATCTGGAGGTAAATGCTATCTCCTCTCTTTCTCTTTCCCTTTAATGAAATTCTTAAGACGTGTTTCATGCTAAATACTAAGTTCTCTTGATGTAGCACACAGAATAGGTTTTTACTGTCCTTTTATTTTAAATGATTCATCATTAGAGTATAGCAAAAATGATTTTGTTCTAAATGTCTGTTAAAAGTGAGCTCCGAACTTACATGATAAATATGACGTGCAGATTCTCAAGGCCTTCCAAAGTGTATTTAATTCGATCTTGATGAGCTATGCTGACTCGTGTGTGGAGTGTGAATGCTTCCCATGATTGTGTAGGGCTAAGATGCTCCTGATCCACATCTGAGAAGTGTTTTTCTTCAAGACCAGTGAAATTACCTTTACCTTTACATGCTGAATTAAACAAAGTATAATTTACACTAGTGGCTTTAAGTAAATTTTCTACAATACTGAAACTTTTTTTGTGACCTTTATGCAACCAATGATGACAGAAAGTAGTAGAACAAAAGATTTATTTCAGCGTAATCTTGCTAAAGAGCAAATGAACATAGAACAATTAAGCAATTAGAGTTGATATATTTATTAACGTAGTAAATGTTCAGAGAGATGGCTTTTGGCTGATGTGATAGTTATCAGTATAGTTGGTGCAATTTTTTTTTTTAAACAAAGACATAAAACAGCCAAGCAGCCTTGACTGACCATTTTGTTTAATCTCTTTTCAAATGAAAAGCTCTTAAGCAGGCCACTTGTCTTAACTGCCTGAAACCATAAAAAGAGAGAATTGCCACCAATAAATTAACATATTTTTAACTTCGTCACCAAATGATGGTCAATGCAGCTTGGCACTGCTTTGGTGTTCGGGACTTCACCCTAAGTGACCACTGTGGCCCTTCTTTGACCCTCTGCCCTCTCTAAGCTGGCCACTCGATAAGGTCACTTAATGGCTCTCTCTCTTTCTCTCTTTCCCTCCACATTTGCAAGTAGCACTAACCTATAAATCATTGTAAGGGCCTATCCGGTGACAAATTAATGTGCCCTCCTCCTAATTAATGGTCATCAATGCCCTTAATTATCTAATCCTATTGAGAGCAGTTAATAGTTAATCAGGCAGCCAGCTCTTCAGGCGGGCCATCTCCGCAGGAGAGTCAGAAGTTTCTCATGTGGGGAGGCTCCCTCCAAGCCACTTAACACCAGGAGAGCCAGAATGGAGAAATAGTGATTCTTGAGCTAATTCGCTTCAGTTCTCAAAAGAAACCGTTGAAATGGAACCCAGCACTGTAATGGTTCACACATTGTTTCAGCTCTTCTGACAGAATACTGAGTGATTTACCAAAATACTGTTTAAAACTCTTAGGATACAATTCTAATGTACCATCACCAGGAAAGCATCCTCATCATTTTCTCTTAAGTTGAATTTGTAGTTTAAATGAAAGATGTAAGTTCTTTTCCTCCGTGAGGCACCCTTTACCCAAAGTCAGTATCTGACGACCAAGTCTAAGGTGTCATTTCTGTTACCATACAAAACAATAAGCTCCCCAGTGGAGAAAACATGTATTGTGCCCAAAGAACAAAGTAGTGCAATAGCCCGAGCCATGTTTTTGATTGCTCTTTCTCTCCACCGGGTCCCTGGAGTTGGGCTGGAGCAGTGTAGGGGTAGAGCAATTTCCCAGTGTCAGCTGCTCCGTGTAGGAGGTGTGGGCTCCACTGGGGGTTGCACAGCACCTTGGCGCTGTCAAGAGACCTTTACCAGCCACCCAGTCTCTTCTCCCACCGTGCTAAACCAGGAGAACCAGTGCACTGGATACCTTGTGGTTTGGAAGCAGTATTGGAAAACAAAGTAAAAATAAACAGTTATTTTTTAAGAAGCCCATATTCAATGCACAGTTGATCAAATCCTTTGTGTTTTTGGCTTATAACCTACCCAATAAAGATTTAATATTTTTAAACTAGAAATATAGGTGCAGCCCATTTTAAGAAAACATTTTCTTATGCTGTAATATTAAATTTGGTGGTTAAAAAAATACGAATTAAGGAAGCAAACAAACCTAGTATCCAATAATAGCTGTGCGTACTATACAAGTACATAGAGCTACCCATAGCTGTTATTAGAACAGAAGGTAGTCATATGGTCACCTAAGATGAAATGCTTTCCATATAGCACTGTCTCTTATAACATGCGTATCCAGAGAGGTTGCCAGTCTTTGATAATGTACACTAGACTTGTGAGGAGAAGTGGCCTGGAAGTTGTTGGTTCTTGGAGTCCTTTGCTGGGGCAGTCACCCATGAAGTACCAGTGTTTCAGTATGCGGTGAATACGTTTGTGGTGCACTGATATTTTTGAATAAAATATGTCCTCACCCATTCTGTGAAATTTGAGACTGTCACACAGCAGGCAGTGCACGTGAGGCACCTCTCAGAAGCAAGGTGGTTTGACAGGTCGAGCAGAGGCATTCCAATCCCGTGCAGGCATTCCCTGTCCCGTGGCCTCTAACAAAGAGCAGCTGGAGGTAGGGGACCCAGGAGCAGGCAAGTGCCCTCACCCTTGTGTCGAAGGTGCTTGAGAATACAGTCAGTCACCGGCCTTTTTATATATGAAAACTGATTAGTATTTACTAACAACTCCAAGGGCTTCTGACAGGTAATGCAGCTTTAGAAGTCTCAAATTTCTTTTAGTGATTTGGAGAAGGCAAGAGAATAGTTTTTCCTTCTTGGAATGTGTGCTTGGTGTTGTCATGATTCAAGTGGAAACATTTGTCTGATCACAGTAAGTTATTGCTGTACCTCTAACTATACAGTTGTGTAAATTAGCCTCTCTACAGAACCCATAGTAAAATCACATCTACACTAAGGACACCAGAATCCTGGCGCCCATTCTAAGTAACTCCTATTGCAAGACTAGGAATAGGGCCGTTTACTTAGCAGGCATAAAATCTTTGCTGAACTTCGTGTAATCTAAAGAAATTACAAATGGAGTTTTTAAATACTCCAAGTCATAGATCTCTACGTACTACATAAGCCCCGTTGGCCAAGTGATCCGAAACACGCTGCCTTGCAGTTGTGTCCGAGAGCTGCAGCACGGAGATACAGCTTCACCTGTGAGCTGCAGTAACTGCTCAGAGCTTGCATTGTTTCACTTCCTGTGATTTCTATGTCTTTAATGCTGGAATTATCATTATAGTTTTTTCTTTACATTATGGAATTATAATTCATAAATAAGTAGGATTTGAAACGTGGCTGCATTTAATTTGATGACATCATAAAAACAGCATTTTCACTAGCAATATTATTTTGCTATTTTAATACTGTATTTTCTAATACAAATAATAACAGCATATTACTCCATTAGTTGCAACATCTGTCAGTTACTACCAAGAAGGTCTCCATGTTTTCTGGGACAGTTTTTCACCCAAGATTCAGCGTTTCGAAGCAAGTCAGGTGGTAACTGGGTTGCACTGAAATGTACAAAAGACATGCACTGTTGGCTGTGAACTTTCAGTACAAAGATGAACAATAATTATACAGGCTGTGATTGGCCCAGTAGTAATAGCTACCATCAATAGTGTGTCTGTGGGTCTTGTAGGCTAAATGAATCTAGAGAGCAGAGAATGTCAGAGTAAATCAAGTTTACTCCAGATCATCCTGTGATACCTTACACCTAACTCAGAATACAAGGCCCAGTATCTCTGTAATCACCAGGAAGTTTTTCTCACAAAATAATTGGCTAACCAGTGTTTATTAGCTAGCTGTTATTTTTGGTGCACTGATTCATTCTTGAAGTATTAAGACCAGGGTCCTAGATACTGTCTGTGTAAATTAGCTTTGTAAAACAGTACTCCACGATAACTTGAGATAACTCCATAGAATTATTTGAAATTTTTATATTTTGGAAAAGCATAGAATTCTTGCTAACTCCTAGTCACCATGATAATATTTAACAGTTTGGATTGTTGCGTGATATTGGTAGTCTCAGATTTACTTCCCCCTATACATTTATTTTCAACAGCCTTTTCAGTTTTTAAATGAGAAGTAGAAGGGTGAATAGATGTTTATTATATGTAGAGATGAGGAGAGGGAGAGTTAACTTTTTGTCAGTTCACAATTACATCATTAAAGTAAAGTAACGGAAGCGTCTGGCTTGGGAGCCTCACATGTCCTAGCAGCAGGAGCCCTATCCTCTAATACACCTTTTCTGTCTGATGATGCCCTCTACAAATATTGGCAGCTATTAAATTAGTTTTTTATTCCTAGATACACTGCAGTTATCAAATAAACAAATAAATCAAATGAAAGTTGAACAGAGGCACCTGTGGGTGGAGTTGTTTGTCAAAAGTAAGCCCCAAGTAACGATGAAGTAGAGCTTCCTGTGGTTCCTGTTGTAGTGCATCGTTCCACCCCTGTGCCCATGCATACTGTAACTCAGCGATGCCGATGTACAGTGCTGCCTGTGGCTGTCCCAGCCTGCAGAGGTTGCCGTGTCCTCACTGTGTCTCACACCATCCTGGACCTGTCAGAAGTGTGTACCACCTTAACGGGAGCAGTTTGGAGACTCTGGCTAATCCTATTTCTTCCCACTTTGGAATCTTAATTGGAAGAGATAAGGGGAAGAAAAAACATCATTTAACTAAATTATTGTCTTGACTCTGTAGCAAGAGGTATAATCCGCAATTGGGCCAATTAGTGAGGGCCGCAGTGGCTCCCGGCCGTGAGCTCTTGATGAGGTCTGACCCCACCCGGTTCCCACTGCTGTGCTGCCAGGTGAGAGGCGGACTTCAAAGGCCAAGGCATCAGCAGGGCAAGGTCTGCAGGCCAGCTTAGGTCCGGCTGCTAATCTCCCTGCTGAACTCCAGTGGCTCTCACACAAGACCAGCTTACACGGCACAGTCATGCGGTATTAAAGTCGGAGTCGAGTTGTGCCAATGTGCCTTTGATTTTTTGATGATTGACCAAAGATGGCTACATGACTAGACACATGCT